GGGGTTTTGGTTGTGGGAACATTATTTGAACCTAGTGAATGCTGGAAAGCAGAAAATGAAGCTCATTTATCAATCATTCAATCACAGGGTTAACCACCCTTGCATATTATAGGGGTTCAATACAAAAGATTCTCTACATTGAGTTTGTATATGGTCCCTTGATTTTTGTTGTAGAGAGAAAGAGTTTACCTGTAATAAGTCAATCAGAGGGAAATTTACCTGATGCTCAATTACTAGTTACCCAATTTCCCTTCTCAATGAAGTGGGGACTCTATGTTGTTCATGGGAGTTCAGATAATCCAATTGCATAAAAAAATATTTTTCTATAGTTGTAAGGCACAGATGTCGCAACCCCCTCCCTTCCAACACACCTGAAAAACCTCCAACGGGGAATTCCACGCTGGAATTCCCCGATTGCACAATTGACTTCCCTCCTCCATTTTCGAGCCCAGTATTCTACCAGTTCCGATTTTCCTCGCGAATTGTCCACATCACTTCCCTGTTATTTTGTCAGTGCATTTATTCTTTGCTATTTTCGAAATACATTTGTTCTTTACTCTTTGGAGTCCTTACCCGATTGCACAATTGACTTCCCTCCTCCATTTTCGAGCCCAGTATTCTACCAGTCCCGATTTTCCTCGCAAATTGTCCACATCACTTCCCTGTTATTTTGTCAGTGCATTTATTCTTTGCTATTTTTGAAATACATTTGTTCTTTACTCTTTGGAGTCCTTACCGAAGGGCTCCCTGCTGTGTTCCCCGGCGGACCAAGTGTTTCATTCATCAAAATTCATAATTTAATCTTGTTTTCATTTTTATTTGTGGCCTGTGCGCCACAGCAAGCGCAGGGGGGAAACTCACCTTCCTGTCAAAGTATGACATCATCCGCTGCCAAAAAGATATGCCCTCTGGCAGGAAACGCCTGCCCCAAGCTCCACAAAGCAACTTGTGTCACAATGCGGAACTGGGCCGCAACCCAACAAGTCAATTCCTGTTCCTGGGCAGTCATTTTAGCTTCCGCCAAGCTCAAGCAACAACAGACAGATTTGGCCACCTGCACAGCCATGGTCATGCCCTGCACAGATGCCTGCACCGAGCTTAGTTGCTGGTGTGCCGCCTCCTTGGCCAAGGTGTCCTGTTGCAGTTGCTCTTCAAGCTGCCGTTGACGGGCGCTTGCCGCATCCACCAATGCAGCCGCTGGCATCAAAGCCACCAGGTGCTGCCAACTGTCGTTTGTCAGCCCTGCCAGCACAGCAGTGTTCTCCTCCACTACAGACGGTAACCGCGCACGTGGCGGTGCTGCCGCCTCGGCTTCCTCAGGCACCTCTGATGCCACCACTGCCCCCTCCACAGGCGCAGCTTTGGCCAGAGCAGCCTCCACAATGACAAGCACTGGTGACGTTCCATCTTCACCATCTGTAGTGCATAATGCAACAGGTATCATGCAACCATTCAACCAACAAGACAAGCAGCGGGACTTACCAGAGATGCCGTTTTTGAGAATGTCCATCATTTGGGTGTAGCTGGGGGATCCCTGCTGTGCTCCCATTTCCATGTCAAAGTCCATGCACTTTGTTTTCTTGTTGCTTCTGGTGGTGTTGATCCTTGATTGCCTGAGGATGAGTGCAACGCTACGCAAACAATTGTTTTCAATGCTTTTCTTTTGCTCGTTTACTTTTTTGCGGTGTTTGCACTTTTTGTTTTGGGTTTTTCTTTTGGTATGTAAATTGCCCTGAGATCTGGAAGACACCACAAGACAATCAACTCAGCACTACTCTTCCGAAAACCTCTGCAAGACGGCCGTCCGCGCATTTGCAGAGTTGCAACAGACACCCCAAAGGCTGCAGCAACAACTTGTGACAGTAAGCCCATGGCACATCATTATCTTTTTTCCCTAGGGGGCCCCCAACTACCGTGTACATGCAGCTGGACCAGACCGCTGGCCTTGATCAACAACTAGCAACGCCAGCCCAGCTGAAGAGTAATGCCAAACACGGCGCAGAAACTTGCAACAGAAGAGCACTTGCATACCAAAATTTCAAACACGTTCTGTTTTTTGACCAACTGACTTGACTTTGCACTTTTTCAGACCAAATTTGGGACTTCTGCCCCGGGAGGGTTCAGGAAGGCAAGTGACGAATTTCTCCTTTGTTTCTCAGGACCCCCTGGTGCGCCTGCCCGCCACCATCGTGGCAACCCATGCATGGTCAAGGACGTTCCATGTCCCCTGGTGCCACTGCACCCGCACACCTCCCAGCCCCCAGCAACTGGCGACATCTACGCAACCCCGGTTTGGGGTCCTATGGCCGTCTCCAGCCTACCGGCTGTTGTCGCTCAAAGTAGGGGTTTTTGTGGGGTTGCGTCCACGCGGCGTGACCGGAGCGCAGCATCCTTGCTTGGACACGCTGCGCAGCAACATGAAGCCCAGGGACCTGGAAGCGGATAGGGACCCAGTTTGCCGCATTGCGGTAAACCGGGTCAGGAGGAGATAATGATCACAGGGCGGTTGAAGCCCTGGAGAAGTTACCAAAGGAATGATTAGACTTTTGGTGTTGCCTGATGGTGGTTGTTCTCTGAGAGTTCTGTTCTGGCTGATTGCCATATTCTCTGAAGTGTGAGCAAGTCTGTTTGTCCTTCTGCGGTTCCTTGTGGGTGGATTAAAGGTGTGCTGCTTTAAGGGACTCCACTAAGGAGGATCCGGCCTTTAAAGGCTGAGTACTGTGTTCAATTTATTCTTACTTCTTTGTCGTTGAATCGGCCCAACATGTGTGCTGTATGTCTAACTGTTTCTGGATGAGGTTTGTCTTGAAATTGCAAATACTGTATAAGGTGTCTTGAAATGAATATCACAGTATGACAGTACAGGAATGATTTATAAATGCTCATGAATTGATTTAACATACAGTATACAGTGATCAAAAAGTATACGAGTTAAAAAAATTCTTTGTCAAAAATTAAGAGAGTTCAAAAGCAGGGAAACTCACCCATGTATTATTCCAAAACAGTTTTCCAGCAAAAAAAATTCTGCGTCTTCAATCCACCGAATATGATGACCAAAAGAGGGAGCAATTTTAAGGAACTGATAAAAAATAATCAAAAAATGCTTTCACAAATATATTGTTAAAGGATTTTTTGAATTATGTAAGCGGTTCTGAGCTTGTAAGGAGAGTCCACTGGTCTTTACTGAGCCTGGGTTGTGAGGCCAGGGCATGGACGGATATCAAATGTTCCCAAGTGCCCCAGGATAACATCCCCAAAGTCAGTTTGTTCATCATCAACAACATAATAAAAATCTCCTCTTTGTGACCTGAACATATGATTTTATTCTATTATTTTTTTTTCAACCACTGGAGTAAGTCATACGGAAATGAAGTGAAGCGATTAATTCCTAAAATTTTTCTGGACGTGAGTCAGGTTCTAGCAGGAAGTTTGGGAAAACGTTTATATACAGTACATTCATGCTAAATTTAAATATCCGACTTATTGTTGAAAAGTGCTCTTTTGTGGGTCAATGTGATCATTATTCAATACATTACGATTATTATTTTTTTTCTGGGAACTTGATCACAGTGCGTCCCTTCTTTACAAAAGACGCGTCCAAAACACATTTTGCATAGCGTAATTTATTTGTGGGGAAACACGCGTGGCTCATGTTTTTTTTATTTTGCCCAGAATGCTTCAGTTTTACAGTTTTCGAGTTGGAAATATAAATTTTTTAAATCAAAGAAAAGGAGAAGATAATGAGGACGAATTCCATTTTTCCAGGTTTGGAATTCACCAGCACAGGTCATGTACATACAGTATATCAAAAGCATTATACAGTAACAAAATATTCAAAATAATTGAGCGACCAAATGTGTATGTTTCGACAGAGCTTGAAACGGCTAATTATTAGTACAGTATTTTAAATGACTGCGACAGAAGTGGTTTCTAAAAATTGTGAAATAATTTTTGAAAGACCCTTCGTCGATTGCTGGTGTATCGACTTCGAATGCAATGCTGATCAGTTTTACGTGTCTAAAAAAATAACGAACGCATTGTTTGAATTGAGAACATAGTCAGTGAATGTCATCTTCAGATGAGTGTCTGATAAAATCGTCGAAATGAAATTTGCTTATTGCTTTATTGCCGAAGTTCGGCATTGATTAATGGGCGTGTGTTTTCCGGCGTGACGACAGGTTCCTTCCAGAAATCACGAATGGATCTCGTCGGCCTCCAACGCCTGCACGAATATGCACCTTCTCGGTCGAAGACGAGCCTACGCCCAAGTCACCTGGTCATTTCTCGTTGGAATCAAAGAAATACTTTGATGATGGATAAACGTGATGAAATCGCTTAGGTGTTATTGAACAAGGAGCTTCATTGCGAATGAATGTACTCGTGGTCACGGATCGGACTTCTTGCGACATACATCGCCATCCCATCGGCAACGGTAGCCTAATAATGAGGGAAAACTTAGAGAAAGGGGATTTATTATGTCTTGTTTGAGAAAGCAAATGACAATTAACCGCTATGAATAACTCTGTATATGAGGTTTGGTTCCTAAAAGAGGATAAAGGACCACTTGCGATCATCGGCAAGGCAGATGCAATTTTTTCCTTTTGCTCTTCAATCCTTCATTGGTGTCTAAATTTTTTAGATACCATTGAAGAATTGAAGAGCAAAAGAAAAGATTGCACCTACCTCTGATGATGACAAGTGGCCGTCTATCAACTTTTACAAACCAACCCTTCTATATGCATGGGAAAGAAAAGTGGGTCTCCTGTATATAACAAGAACGTTTCCGAGTTTGTACATACTTTGAGTGAAATTTGCAGGCATTTCATAGATTTTGATTGTATTTTACTAGTCTGTTCAAGAAACTTTCTTGCCGCTTGAATGAAATAAGAAGTACTGTACAGTACTTGCAGGAAGAAATCGGAGGAATAAATGGACACATCCTTCAATATACACAAGCCGGCAGCCTCACTGCTGACTGCTCTGAAGATTTTTCGAAGTTGCATAATGTTCATGAGTTTTTCGGAGGTCCAATAGTAATGTATTGTAGTTATAGTACAGTACTGTGTTCTGTAATATCCACATTGGCCGCACAATTATGTACAGTATTATAAATAACTTTCAAGTACTGTACTGTACTGTACACTACTGTATGTGACAATGTTGTTGCTCTGTGATACTGACGAAAGCTTTCTTTATTGCACATATGGTCGTCCTCAATGGACAGTAAACCCTTGGACTGATTCGAAACTTCTGCTTCGGCGTGCCAGTCAGTCGATCAATATCTTCAGGAGATGAAGAATGAACACAGATCTTTCATTAATATTTTCGGTCCGAATAAGGTTCGGGACATTTTTTGTCCAAGTTTCAAACCAAGTTGTAATCAGAAATCATTGGGAATTGTGCATGTCGTGCTCTACGTATACTGTAATTTCCTAAAATCTGTCATGAAGTTCCGATGCTCGGTGTCAAAACTGGCTTACTTCGTCTTCGTGGATAATACAGGCTAGATTATGGGACTAACCAAAGGGTTTGATGTTTGTCTGTTGCTTGAGCTTCTTCGTGTTTTTTCGCCGTTTGCATGATGGTGTGTTTCCATTGTAATATTATTCCACAGAGTTTTTCGTGAAAAACCGCATGTCCTGATCCAGTTCTCTGCGGAATCAATCACCCTCAGCCTCGGAATGGTTGACCCCAGGCCAGGGCAAGTTTTTTGCTTGCACTCCCGTCATTGAAAAATAATGTTTGTATTCTCCTAGCAGCTCCCCGGTCTTTGTTCGGGAAGTCTATAATGGAGAAAATGCTCTGGAAATTTTTGAAGATACACTGGAGAGAGCATTGGATGAACAGCATGAGTTGATTGTTATTGAACCAGCGCAGCTCGGGAAGCAAACTGAGAATTGGATCGCTTTCGGGAACTGTATTCAAAACACGTCCATATTAACTGGGTTTGGATCAGTTGTTGCCGGTAAATCTTTCCAGTGCCTTGTGTTACTATTTCTTGTGATCATCCATTAATTTCCAGGTGCGCTTCTACCCGAGAAACCGCTTTCCTATGTCACTTTGGGAACTATATCCGTCTTTTTGACGGCTTTGTACGGCGTTTCTTGGTTGACGGACCCGTGTGTTGCCTATCAAGTTGAGAGAAACTGGGGACGAGTGCAGTGCGATCCCAAGTATTTTCGACTGTTCAGCGATAATGGACAGAATTCCTCTGCTTCTGTTGTGCTTGTACGACGGAAGCGCAAGTTGTCGTGTTTTTTGCACGCCAGTGTTTCCATCTGTGCGGTTTGCGTTTGTGCGTGGAATCTAATCAAGCTGCGCCGAGTTGCGTAGAGGAAGAGTATTGCCAAGATTCGATGCAGAAGCGTTAGTTCACGCGAGCCACCTGATGATTTTGATAGCGGCTGTCCCTTCCTTCGTTCCTGTGTTGTTTTTGGAATGCCTCACTTCTTATGGTCGGAATGTCCTTGTGCGTGATAAGTCAAGAGAGAATCGATCGCGTTTCCTCGCGATCTGTGATATCAGAGTAAGAGTTTAGAAAGTTGATGAAATGTCTTTTGGAGGCACTCCTTTGATCCGACGGGATATTCGAAATGAACTAAATGCGCGAATTCGCTCTTTTGAGACATTATTCTCTCATAACTCATTTTAAAGGTACATCATCAAGTTCCAATTCCGGATGTTTGCATTTCTAGAGATTTTACGATGAATACCTTGAAGTTCTCGCGTCGTGAAAATTATCATCCTTGTGACGACGCCTCGACTGGAGAGCGTCTTATGCATCGCCTCTGTCCTCGTTCGTTACGCAGATTTTTCTCTCGATGGCTTCCAAAAAAAGAAACTGAGCCGAAGTCAAAGACCGATCTTGAAGAAGCCACCAGCGAGGAGCTTCATCACTTGATGACGAAAGTCGTGAGTTTTTAATGTAATTTTTTATCTAGTCGTGAAATAGAGTTCATCTTTTTTCAGGATGATTTGCTGAAGGTGCACAATAAAGATGATTTACGCAGGAACGGAGGAGATCAAGAGGTTCGTATTTTGCGGTTTCCCAGTCCATAGTACTGTAGTTTAATTCTAGATTTTCAAGTCGAGAAGCAAAGAATACTGTAATCTAGATCTGAGAAGGGGAGGCGACAGAGTGTAGCTGTTCCACGACCATGCGTCAAGCTGAAGAGTGAGTTTTTACTGTGGATGACTGGCAGCATTTCATTCACGCATAACTGGAATTCAAACGATCAAAGTGATGCACGCACTTCGCTCACGCACTCCCGCAACTGTGGTGTTTTGCAATGCCAAGACGATGCACACACCGCTTTGGCTGACTTATGTGCAAATGATGATTAATGTGTTTTTTTGTTGTTGCTTGCATCCGTCACCGTCACAGGTTGCTTTGCGCGTCGACTCAGTGGAGAATCATCACTTAAGCCTAGCAGTACAAATATTTTTCGTTTTCAAATTTCCGTCATTGAATTTTTATTCAAGACTGAAGAATATTGGCTTTTGCAGTGTATTGTGTGCGTGAATGCTCGAGCCATGTTGGAAACATATCCATGCCGTCATGCTGTGCTTTGCAAGGCGTGTTTTCTGAAGACAATCCAAGTAGCCATATATCGAGGAATTCTGCCACTACAGTGCGTCCTGTGTCGTTCTGAAATCTACAGCATCTGTGAAATTTCGGATTTTGAGGACGAGCCTCCCGCTATCGTGCTGAAACAAGGTGCATTAGTATTGTCGGATTTTCGCACACTATGATCGGGATCGAAATTGTCTGGTTTATTCAAAAATTGATGTACCATATGATGATACAGGTGGTCTTCCTCCACTGGTATTTCATGAAAGGAAATAATCTTCGTGCAAGAATATTTTGGTTTTGGCATATTTTTCATGAATGCGAGAGCAACTTTTCTTCGAGGATATTTTTTGTCGAACGCATCAATTTTTGGTCATGAACGACCCTCGAGCACTAGCCAAATCAACCTGGAGATTATTGCATTTTGCAGTTCCTCAGCGTAATATGTGGAAGAGACTTGCTGAGAAAGCATTGTACGTGGCACTAATTTGTTTGAAGATCTGAAATTTTCTTGAAAAACAAAAATTGTTCTCAATTTGTATCATTGTGAAAGGTTTTCTACGCATCATTATTTTTTTCGGTACTGTGTCTACTTTTTCCACTTGTGAGAAGAACATTTTCATAGCAAACATTCAAGAAGAGCAAATGATAATCAAGCCATTTTTTTTTAAATTTAGCTCCACGATCGGCCTCCAAGTGGAATGGTGGTAACCTTGGGAATGTGTTGAGAACTCCTTCAAACGAATGCGAATTTTTTATGGAAATGTTGAGACATCCGGATGAGCCAAGCTTATTAGGCCCAACACAGACTAAGAAACCACGAAGACCAACGCTCTACGAGAAAGTTTCTAATTTCTCCAATGCTCTCCCGAAGTCAACCAGTTCATCTGTGAGAGGAAGAAGGATTCTTCAAAAAGGACGTGTTTCCCCAACCATTCGGACGAGTGAGGCTGCATCTTATTCGTTAAAATGCTGTCAAACATGCCTCTCTTACTTTCCTGGATTTGCACATCAAGCTTTCATTTTATTTGCAGAAGGAAAAACTGATGCGAAGCGAAATTTGAAGTCTCCCGAACTGCTGTCACCGCAGGAACAGTTTCGTTACCAATTTCATGAAGGCAAAATAGCTGCCATGCGAGAACGCAAGCTTCGACAAGAAACTTGGAAGTGAACGTGAAATTACCATGGCGATTTGATTGTGTTCTTTTGAATTCCTTTCTATTCCTATGCGTGTGGAATGTGCCCCTCCACCGTATGCAACCAATAGATTTGATGTAGTATTCTAGTTTAAAATTGATAGTTTAAATGTGTGGGATGACCTAACAAAGTCTTCGAAACCAGATCTAGTCGTCACTGATATTTCTCTGATCTCATTTGATTAAAACCAGTTTTCGTATGAAAAATGAAGGATAGTGCCTAGGTGTTCGAAAAAGTGCTATTTCGGTAGATGGAAGAATAAAAAAGTTTTGTTATATATGTTCAATGCACTCCATTTCGTTTTTGACAGATTTTTCTCTTCACTCTTTTGTTGTGTAATCTTGACACTTTTTTGGTCTATGCAGATGTCGTCGCAAAATCCAGACGAAATGTGATCGGGAAAGTGTTGTTCATGCGCGTTTAATTCTCTCTCACTGTCGCCGTGGCCGAAGGTATCGTGTTTCCCTTCGACCACTTCTTCGCACTTTTTTCTGAATGGACGAAATGGCGGACCGCGTTCGGCCTGCTTCGTTGGCGCTGAAACTTGGGCCTATTGAAGGGTCGCAAACCAGCGCCAGGTTTCAACCACCGCCGCACCTGGCCGGTGAGTGCATTTCCAGTACTTTTTTTTCTATGCTTACGTTCAATAATCCGATGCGTCTGTGAATTGTCAGATCTGTCATCTTGGGGGAAAAAGTGTGTGCAATACAAGTGGACTCTCTTCAACGATATTCTCTGTGCAACAATTGCTTTTAGGTCCCATGAGGGTCTCTCCCCATGTTATAGAGGTTCCCTACAAGCTTTTTTTCTGGTCCGTTGTACTGTATTTCGTTGTTGAGAAAGTCCACCTGTTCCCTTTTTTCCCCCAACAAATGAAGTACTGTATCTTGATTGTATTTTACTTTCAATGAAGCTCAACGTTGATTGCACATTTCGTGGTACTGTAATGTTTTGACTGGTAAACAATAAACAACGTTCAATTGCTTACCTAATACAATGCGTGGAGCAAAGTGAAAGTCCGTGAATGCTTTATGAGTACTGTGCAGTACTTAATGGGGTCATATTTTTTTTTAAAGCAGTGATGCTATGGGTAATGTTGCTCTACTTCAATATTGCCTCTCCTCTTGGATAGTCCTCTGAACAGTGCTTGTCGCGAGGATTACGTCACATCGCATAAGTGTCGACATCCCTTGTTAGCTCTCTGTTAGAAACGAATTTCACGCTTCCTTCGTGATGAAATATTCGAGACCGAAAGGGTTATAGGTTTGGACATTAGGTTAGGTGTCTGGCCAGGCTTGAAACGTAATTTTGAATTTATCATCTTTTTCTCTCTCAGTACAACCCTCATCATTATGCATTACAAAAGCTATATAAATGTAAACATTTGCTTGTTCCTACTTTCCAGGCACTTTCTGAGTCATCGAACGTAATCCGCGCCTCACCAACAGCGTATAGGAATGTGTTGAAGGTGTTGTTCCAGTAAAGTTGGTGGGTTTTGATGAGGCGGAAGAACATCGCCCCGAAATTTGTTCATCGATGTCAAACTTATTTTTCTTCGTTGATACAATATTCTTTATTCTTTCCCTTCACCCTTGAATAACTCAAGAGCAATCGAATACTTTACTGTATTCATGTAAAATATCAGCTGCTTCAAGGCCTCAACATATTAGCTGTCACAGGGAGAATTCAACCGCGAAATTTTTATAATGCTACACTTAGCACTGCGCGAAATTATGGTTGACGGTTGATAATAGATGTAAATTTATGTCGTTCAGTACTTTCTTGAGTACTTGTCGAACGACTGTTTGTGACGATTATACTGTCAGCATTTCACTTGAGAGAAAGAAGGCATAGATTTACCTGGCTTCTTCGCGGGTATGTATTTTCTAGACTGGGAGTCAAGTAAAATCAAAGTCGTCGCGTGTTTAGCTGTAGACATTCAAGTCACATATCTGTTGCCCTGCTTTTTCACGTTGTCAAATCCCAATTTTAAGTACTGTACTAACCATTTTTTCAAACGTAGATGAAGTACAGTACTGTGTATTACTCTATCATCAGCCAGGATAATCGAGTTGCTAATGTATTGCTAAGTCTCAATGGAGAACATCTCGCAGGTTGATAACATTTCCGTGGGATTGGTTTACGGCATTTTTAACCTGAGCTTCAGAATCACGTTGTGGATGTCCATGAAAGAACGAGTGATTATCCAGAGCAGGGTCATCGAGCGTTGTTTAGAAATGCCTTGATGAAGTCGCTCGAAATTGGGTCAAAAGCGGCGTAGCTATTGGTTTGTGTATTCGTCTCCATTAATTTTGTGGGCTTCGATGGCTCACATCCGATCCGCGTGATGAGCCATGCGTTTCGAGAAACTGGTGTGCGCAGTACATGGTTGAGGAATATCGCCGCCAAAAACGTTACCCAAAATTGGGGCGTAGGCAAGACACGCGGCAGAGATTCTTCTTTTTTTCTTCTTCATTTTTGGGTTGCGGTGCGATTCGCTTGACGAAGATTCCTTTTTCTCTCAGCGATCGTTTATTTCCGCCTTATGGTATATTTTCCTCCAGTCCTCTGTCTGCATCTGCAATTTTTCGGGGCAGAGGAGAGAGACGAATGCGGTTTCTTGTCGCCGTGAAAGAAGTGCCTCACGGAAGCTTGGTGCACGCCGTGTGTCATGTCATTTGCTCCGCTTGGGGGAATTCTTCATGCTTCCGTTTGCAAGCAAATCGTGATGTTCGCGACGTGGGGCTTTAATTGCACCTGAAACACATAGTGATTCTTACCAGATTTGTTTCCTTTCTCGTGGTAAATTCCGATTCGCCCAGGCTCTGTCCGATATTTTAGCAACCGCGTCCACGCAAATACGAATTTAAGTCGCATCTTGTAGTTTTCAGTCGCTGAAATGGAAGGAAAAAATACTGTTCTAGCGTATCTAAGAGGCAGTTTTTCTCGATTCAAAATACTGTTCTCTGTAATTTTTCTCACTACGAACGCTGTCAAAAAGCAGAACAGAAACACAATACATTGCAATGACAGAAGATAAGAAAATGTATTAACCTGACAAAAGAAAATTGCGCGAGGAGAAAAATGTTGCTGGGCTTTTTTTTATTTTTAATCCGTATTACGTTCAGATTATTCGTCGGATTTATTTGAGTGGGGGGAAATATATTTGAGACACCACCTCCTTTATATGGGTATAATTCGTAACCTACACATCAATTCGCATTTGACATGCTAACGTAAGACGTCGCAGAGTCTGAGGCGCACTCTGTTCCCTGTTGAGTTTAGATTAAATAAATTCCGTCTTACGCCAAAATATTTTTTTATGCCACGCGCCACTTTATCAAACGCGTGCCGTGTTTCTCGATATCTTGAAGAATAACTCTGGGGAATATATTTCCTATGAAATTACACGCGAATTTTTCGATGCAGTACTACCGCGAATTTGTGTATGCCAAGCTCTCGATTGTTTTGAGAAATATTGTGCAAGAAGGCACGCGTGGTACGCGAGTGACGTGAATACGTTATCATCCGTTCGATTTTCTTTGAATCATGTGATCATGATTGATTGGAGTCTTTTGAGATTACTTCGATCGCGGGAGCTTGCGTTGAACGACGTAAAACCCTTGCGTTTCGATGCGGAAAATTCGAAAATAAACAGATGCTTCCTCGTTCGGCGCTGATGAAATCCGCCCCAGATCCGTTTGTGGCCTGGGGGTGTACGGCACGTGTGAATGATATTCCGGTGCTGTCGGGTCGGTGGCAGTGCGTACGCAAATTGTACGGACCGAGGGGTTATGCAACGCGTGTGCCCATCGGGATTCAGTTGGGGGCAAGGTCGCCCGGAGACGTTGCATGAAAGGGAGGTAGAGGGGCTTTGTGTGGACTCTGGGAACGAGCGTGAATCCCGGGCATTTCTGACCAGATGGCGACCTTCCTGTCGAATCTGGCTCACATTTCTTTTGGGAAGTTCGCATTTGGCCACTGTCGATATACGAAGCTCCTCGGATTATTCTCAATAATCTTACGTATTTTCTCACTGGTCAAGACCTTTACAGGTATCTGGATTCAGTTACAGTGGTACCTCGGATAATGTACACCTCGCGCAAGGATATCAGACTGCTTCGGATTTCTGCTATGGAGAAGCGACCCAGCTTTGGTTAATTAAGCGTAACATACCGTACCATATAGCTTCTCGTATTTTGTATATTTAAGAATTATATACGGCATAGCCTTACGTTACTTGGTAATTAGACGTCTCGGATAATGGACTTCTTAATAGAACAAATCCGACGCTCTCTACGGTGATCTTGTCTACGACGATTTTTTCTGTTGAACAAATTTTTCTGTGGTCCCATGTGGTTCTCAACAGCTAAATTCTCTCTACAACGATTTTTTTCCTATCCTATTGAATTTAATTGTGGAGTGAGTCCACCTGCAGGGAATTTTTTGTGTAATTGTACTCATCCCACAACGCTTGTGCCTCTTGCCATGTTTCCGTGAACCGAATGTTGTCACTTTTTGACAGACCTTCTATTTATGTGTAACCGGCTCCTCGAAGATTATTCTTGTATTCTCTAGTCTAGAGTACTCCAGGCAACGAATTATTTGTTCTCTGAGTATTCGTATTGATAAAATCCACGTGCGTAATTACTCTCGAGATTACAGATTCAATGCGAAAAATGTTACTGAAATAAAGTTGGGGCTTTTGGTCATCGAAACCAATTTGCGGTGAGATTCAGTTGTCATCTCAACAGTACCTTGCGAATTTTTTATTTATTAAAGTGATTACCTTAACTAGAAAAAATTAAATTTTTGCAAAAGTGAATTGTGCTTATTTTCTGTGCGAAAATTTGAGCAAACTCGATTTATAGACCTGTTCGATTTCTCCTGACGATGGATTTCGATTCTTGCCTTCAAATGCTTCGGACACATCGCGAATTTCCTGAGCTCTCCTCTGAGAAAAGAAGTGTTTGCTGCATGTGCTGATTCTACATTTTTGGCACGCGTTCATCGAGGGATAACGTCGACATTCAACAATGAGAAAGGGCATCGTTACCCCGCCCTTCATATTTTGTGCAGATTCGGATTATCACGCGCAAGGGCATGGCTGCCGGCGAGGGATATGAATTCTGTTGAACTTCTCTGTCGTGTCATCGATTCCCAACTCGGCACATCGATCGGATCAGGGTGCAGTGCAGACGAGGATTTGTGCATTGCTAAGCCGGTTTATTGATGCGCGAAATCCGTCTTCGGACGGAAGTATTGTGAAGTCGATGCTTCGAGGAT